TAAATAATGCATATTTTATATACTTTTGTCTACTAAATGAAGTCAATATTTTTTAACTCCAAAGTTTAGATAAGTGACTATTTTTCCGATTTCTGATACTTCTCGAAACCAACATCGAAAACTTATTCTAAACTTTACTAGATTTCTTTCACGTGGTGCTTCATACCATGCTTTCCAAAATGAATAACATTTTTCAGGATTATTGCCTTACCAAAATAAAAAGGAAAATTTCAGAAAAATGAAGTCAATTTATTTTAATGAAAATAAGATTAACTGAGCAGTGAATATGTTCTTCAAACTTAGTAAAAGCCACAAATTCAATTCAACCATGTGTTCTTAGGTCAAAAATTTCCAATATTCACTGTCTCTAATTCACGAATCTCAGAACCATGAGAAATTTTTGTTGCGTCTTCCCTTGCAGAATGGCATTTTTTGTTCAATGAGTGTATTATTCGATAAATGCGTCCTGTTAACTTTTTCGTCATATGTAATTTTCCCCATGCAAAAATGAATATTGATAACATGCAAACAATTCCAAACACCATAAATAATCCAATCAAAGCTCGAGAATCAATTGCAGCGGTTGATACTGAATTATCAGGACAATTTTTATATTGGAACCATTTTGCATACAAATTATTTAAGTCACCTGATTCGCGTAATAACAATAGAGCAACATCTAAATCATTTCCATATATCCATCCCTTACGCATAGGAATAGCAAATATTCCTACATTAAATCCTGAGCCAGCTATTGTTAAATTGCAATAGACATCATTAGTCATATATTCAGCGTTACCAGTATCTATAAAACCAACATCGATTTTATCATCCAATAAGCTTTGATATATTTGATCACGACTGTATAATGGATAATAGTTTGGATTTCCTCCAGACAATTCTGTTAAATAATATTCAAGTGAAGCTGAACCTACAAGAAGACCTATACGATTACTGGGAACTTTTCCATTCTTGATATCGTCAATTCCAGATATAATAGGTTGCGATTTTGATATTGTCAATTGTGATGCTAAATTTGCAGTGTATGATGCAATTATAACCAGCGTTAAGAAAAACATGGCAGATGATATCAAACGGCCAGCAATAGTTTTAGGTTGTAACTCCACATCGCGTCCCATGAAATTACCAAAAGTATACCAAATAATCATTAGGTATGCAGCAGAATGTGATTTCTCTCGTAAACGTTCATTGGCTACTCTTTCTACTATGCATATCAAAATGCTACCAAAGATAAGAGTACCAATGATCAGCAACCACAAATCCCATGAGAGCGGGTTGAGAAAAGAAAAGAGGGCTACTTGAATATCGGGTTGTGTTCGAATAACAAGGCGCACCGAGTTGTCAAATATTGAATTCGAAAAATCGACTTTTTTTCTTCGATTTGCAGTCACTGTAAGATCAGCAACTACTAGATCATAAACACCATGCACCACACTATCAACAAGACCATTATAGGTATGATTACTAGGAGCGAGTCGAATATCTGGAATAAATCCTAGTTTAGTTTGTAAAAGATTTATAAGATCAGGTACATAACCAACGAGCTGGGTTGTAGTGTTTCCAAGTGCATCTGTTACATTTATAATATTTGTATATTGAGTTGATTGAATCAAACCTAATATTAATTTAACTCCTTGGAGTTTTGCACCACTAGTAGGAGGTGCTAATGTATTTCCAGGCCAAATCAGTTGTGTAGATGTATTACGTTGCCAACCAGTACTATCAGAATAGCTCAATGCTTGTACAAAATTGATTCCAGTAGGAGAATATTGTATGTTATTTGCAACGTAATAACTTCCATTAATTCTGTCTGTTGTATTAGCACTAAACTGGATATGGCCAGATACACCGAGAAATTCCATGTTATTAATTATATCGAATAATGTATTAGAATTGAAAAGGAACCGATCGAAACAATAGGTAGCATTACTAAGAGAAATACAAGATGAAGTATTACTTGTTATTGAACAAAATTTTTGTAATGATTGAACCAACGTCCATGCTGCATCAAACGCAAAAAATGCATAATCATTGACATTGTTTCTGCCAGGAAATGTTTCAGGTTCATATTGATTCCATAAATCAAATGCTGCATTTAATAATACCGCATTGATTGGTGCATTAGCAACACTTGCAACTGTTGGTTCTAGATTAAGCAATCCAATCAAGTTTGGATAGTATGTTTGATTAAAATTGCTCAAATCAAAACTTGCACTTGTAATCCATAGATAATTTGGACCAATTAAATCATAGTCAAGTGCATTTTGTATAATAGAAGGTACATAAGGAGGATTCACCCACAAAACTACAATTCTTGTCGGGCTAGCGGTCAAAACATCGTTCAAATTGTCTTGTAGACGAAGTGTGACAATATCAAATACTATAGTTCCTGCAATTCCTAGGCCATTTTTTAAAAATGCATTAGTAATAGCTGTTGCACCTCCGTTTCCAAATGCATCATTTTGATAAATAATTTGGCAGGAAGTCCAATTATAGTTGAGAAATAATTGAGCAATGGCTAATGCAGCTGCATTATCAGATGGAACTGTACGGTAAAAAGCAGGATATGCATTTCGGTTTGATAACGTAGGACCAGTTGCAGATTGTGATATAACTGGAATACCGATTCGTGCGCCTATGTCAGCTATGATAGGAGCTTCACTTGAATATTCGGGACCAACAATACCAACAATGTTTGAAGTTGATATTGCTTTGCATGCAGCAGCTATAGCGTTTATTTCTGTACCAGCGGTGTCTACAATTTGACCCGCGATGACTTGTCCTTGTATGCTAATATTATACTGCCTAGCAATTAAAATAGCTGCTTGGAACATTGCTGCAGAATGAATGGAGATTATGTCATGGTTAGATGCATTTATTGTATTTACAACTAGGTGTAGCAGTTGGATACTGGAAGGGTTAGTTGAGGGCCAGGTGGCACTTACACAATGCAGATTATATCGTATCAGAAGAAAGAGTAGGAACAACGATTGTACACTCGCTATTTTCATCATCTTTTTTTTGTATTGTGGACAGAACTTTTGATCTGAAAGCATGCAAAAATATGCGTATTTAGACAGTAACGGGCGACGAACCCACGGATGGGGAAAATTGGTCGAATGTTTTGATCTTGCTCAGGGAAGAAACACTTTTAGAATCCCATCCAATCAAACTTAACATCTCTTTCACGGTATCCGATCTCTTCATAGACTAAGATAAATGGATTCTCTTAGCATAACAAGAAAAGCATATCCTAATACTAAATAAACTCATTAGTTTAATAGATAAACTCTTTATAGCTATATTATTGTCTTAGATTATGAATTTCGAGTTAAACGGTTCGCTATCTCAGACAAACGAGTGGCAAGGGAGAAAAATTTTACTGTCAAAATAATTAAAAGGATAAGCAACGGTTATGAATTGCGCAGTGATTTTAAATGATTAATCTGGAAATCTCTTAACAATACCGCTCGATTCTATGACGACTTCTTATGAAGATAGTGTATATTGTTGTTTGAATCTTGTATAAAAAAATAAATAAACCTCTTGATACGCATTATAAGAATAAGTGATTTCACCTAGTTTATAGAAAAATTCATTTATGATCTTAGTTTATTTCAAACTGAATTCTTGTCGAAATAATTCGTCTCATGCTGGAATATGATACTCGAACAAACAATCACTCATTCGATTCGCAGTACAAGAATAAATGATTTCACCTATCCCAAAAAGTACGAAATTACAAGAGCAATAGCCCACTGTTTACATAGATTTATGTATCATAAATGCGATGTACATGTACTATATCCTATTCAAATATAAAATTGTATACTTTATGTTTTTCTTCATTTATTTCAATATCAAACAAATAATGCAAGTACCCACGAAAAAACAAATCGTATGAAACGGCGTTTTAACGCAAACTTTTAGAAGAAAACGCTGTTTTACCGTTTTAGCGCATCGTTTTCTCTCTACAATGCATTTAAACTCATGATTTTGTGTATGTAACACGTTGAAATGCATTATTTTTTCTTTATAACGGGTTTTTTAACTTAAAATACGGTTTTAAAACATCGTTCACTCGCGTTTTTTTCTACGCATTTATATTCTTTAATTTGCTCTATTTCTCAGTGAGTCTTTTATCGGTGAGTTCTTTTTCTTAAAAAAAACTTTTTCTTATAGACACTCAGAATACATATTTTAGTCTATATTTTTAGCAATACAATGTTTACATAAAAGCCTAGTGCTCTTTGTCTCCCTCCTGATAACTGAAATATTTATATTTAATTGGTATTTAGAATTTTTCTTCAGTATTTCATCAAATGAAAATGTAACTAAATGGTTGCTAATTACCTACTATATCGAAAATTAGAATATTGAAACAACTGAAAGCAAAAATCGCTGAAAAACTCACAATTAATATTGTGAAAATACTAGGATAAAGCCATTCATATTCTAAAAAACATATTAGGCCTTAAAAAATGACTTCAAAAATTTTTTTTTAAATAATTTAAAATGTTTTTGTGTGGAACTATTTTAAATGTCAATTCTCGCAATTTAAATTTAATTTGAATTTAAATTGAATGAATTCAAAATGTATCCTTCAATTCATTATGTAGAGACATTCCATCTCTATATTAGTAACAGTAAATTTGATGCAATAGCATCAGGTAAGTGAAATTCGAAGTTCATAGTTCGAATCTGCTCTGCATCGGAATAAATAAATATACTCAATAATAAAAACACATTCAAAAAATCTCGTTTCGGTTCGGGAAAAACGCGCTTTTCATAAAGCTGTTGTTATCGCATTTTTGCGTTATCCACTGAAAATAAAGCATTTGAACGCGTTGGAAAAAGTGCATTTTAAGTCTAGCGAAAACATGTGAACAAAATAAACAACGGGTTGAATCGAAGATTTTAGTGATGGGTGTGGGTGTGGGGTGTGGGTGTGGGGTGTGAGTGGGTGTGCTTGTGCTTGTGCTGAAAAACTACTCTCCCACCCACCCACACCCACACCCACCCACACCCACACCCACACACCCACACACCCACACCCTGATGCATTAAAGTGTAATGATAGAAAAAGTTCAGAAATATATAGAATAATTTTGTTCTTCTGGTCAGAATTAACAGTTACATCGTGTTTCACATTTTAATCCCAAAGGGATTGCACTAACAGCTTTTTCTTTCGAACCATTTTTACACATGTCGAAAAGAAGAGAAAAGGCAGTAATCACATCTTAATATATCATGTATATGTATGTCTTGAATGAACGTATCAAATCAATAGCTAGGCTCACTTGTAGAATAGAAACCTATTTTTTCTACATTCAGTATAGGGGGCTTATAATTATGTTACACCCTGTATATTAAAAAGTAAAAAATTTAATATATATGAGAACCATACCACGATCTCTCCTCTTGAGATCTCATGCCGGCCGCCCGTCCAGACTCGCAAACGGAGCGTCGAACAGAAAGGAGTGCAGATGCCGCTGTTCGGAAAAAGAAAAAGACGATAGAAGCCAATCATGAGTTTAGATAGTAGAAAACCATACCGGCTCGGGTGTCGCCAGGGTCAACAAGGTTCGCGTCTTCTGCTGAGTAGCCAGGGCAGAGTCGAAAAGTTGGCTACTGGACAACAAGGGAGGACGAGTGAAGAGAGAAAGAATATAGAGAAATTAAAGCCAGTCAATAACTTCCGGACAGTTGGAACGTGGAACGTTCAAACATTATGGGCAACTGGGAAACTGTAGTTACTCAGACATGAAATGAAAAGATTCAGGTACGATATCATAGGTATTTCAGAAGTACGATGGACAGGTAAAGGCGAAACATCAAATGGAGACTTGATCTGGCCAAGAGAAGACAACACACGCGTAAGAGGCGTGGGACTCCTGCTGAGTATGAAAGCTAGAAAGGCACTCATATGATACAATCCAATAAACTCGCGAATTATCACAGCTAGATTTAACACAACACCATTCAAAATAATAGTACTACATGCATATGCACCAACCTCAGCCTGCTCAGATGAAGACATAGAGGTGTTCTATAATATTCTTGAAGACGCGCTAGATAAAATACACAGAAAAGATGTACTCATCATAACAAGTGACTGGAATGCAAAAGTGGGTAGCGAAAATACAGACTGGAAAAGAGTAATTGGAAGGAACGGGTACGGTGATAGAAATGAAAGAGGAGAGCGTCTGTTAGAATTCGCAACTACACATAGCTTGTATATATGCAATATGAAATTTGAGCAAAAACCACAGCGAAAATGGACTTAGGCATCACCATATGGTGTGCATAAAAATATGATCGACCTAATCTTTATCTAACAAAGATGGAAGTCGTCGGTCATCAAGCGCAGAACATTCCAAAGTGCAGACATCTGCTCAGATCACTCACTGGCTCTATGTAATATAAAATTAAGGCTCCAAAAGATGTATAACAAGCCACATCCAAATACGACAATAGATGCGACACAACTGAAAGATGATATCATAAGAAGATGCTATAGCAACAAACTAGCCGGAAACACAGAAAAAATCCAACCTACTGACAATCTAAGTGAACATGCGAGAAAAATAGAAGGTGCTATCAAAGAAGCAGCTAGTACAGCAATACCCGCTAAAAGAATAGCCAAGAAACCTTGGATATCCGAGGAAACACTAAACATAGCGGAAGAGAAACGAAAATTGAAACAGGCCAAAGACGCTTCTAATGTAAAAATGCAAGAATACAAAGACCTGTGTAAAAAAGTCAACAAGGCAGCACGAAAAGATAAAGAAAACTGGATACAAAAGCACTGCGAAGAAGTCGAAAAGGGTCTAGAGATTGGTAATACTAGGCAAGCATACACTTTGATAAAAATGCTAAGAAGAAAGTTCACTCCCAGAATAAATGTACACTCTAAAAAAATCGGTTCTCTACCGAACCTTAATAGTTCCGCATTTTTCCACCGAACGATTTTAAGTTCCATAGAGTGAAAAACGTTCCGTGGCCTCCTTTCGGAACTATTTTAAGTTCAGAAGATTTCATCAGGTTTCGAAATTTTGCGCCTGAACTCTTCGAAGGTTCCGTAAAGTGGTTTGTGGTTTCGTACGTCATGTACAAATCCTTTGATAGTTTTGAGAAATGACAGAAGGTTTCGTCATATACCCACGGAACCACTGTTGGCGCCGTGGACGAGCCGAAGGCTTCGCAATTTGTTCACGGAACCGTTACTGCTTTCGCCGATGATCCGAAGGTTTCGTATTATATATGTGGAACTTATCGACACTTTCTGGTTGACTTTAAGGTTTCGTAATATGTCCACGCAACCAGTGTTGGTTTCGCGAACCGTCCGAAGGTTTCGTATTATTTATGCGGAACTTATCTACACTTCCTGGTCGGCATTAAGTTTTCGTAATATGTCCACGGAACCATTGCTGGTTCCATCAACTGTCAGAAGGTTTGGAATATTCTCTGGAAAACAATTGCTGGTTTCGTATAACATTTGAGGGTTTCGTACTTTTTGAGCTGAACGATTCCCACTTTATTATCCATGTCAAAGTCTCGTATATTTTGTACCAAACCCCTGAAAGTTTCGTAGATACTCTCGAGGTTTGGAATCTTTTCCACAAATCGACTGATGTTTTTATTCGCGATTCAAAACTTTCGTATTATTTCTACGCAACTTTTTCACACTTTCTACACTGTAAAAACAATCCGCAGAATAATAAACGGAAGAAACGTTTTTGATAAGGTATTTAACAAAAAAAAGGGTTTATGAAAGTGCAACGTATCATAAACCCTTTTTTCCGTATATGACGAAGATAATAAAAGGTTTTTAGGTTTATGATTTGAAAAAAGGGTTTATAAGATTTCTCAAAAACGGAAAAAAGGGTATGTGACACGTTGCACTATCATAAACCCTTTTTTTACAGTGTAGTGTGCTTTAAGGTTCTGTAAAATACCCACCAAACCAGCGCTCGTTTCGTCGACCATCTCAAGGTTTCTTAGTTTTTCCATTAAACTTTTCACCGGTTTATTATCTATGTTAAACTTTCTATAGCTAATCGGCGTCCCTGAGTCGAAATCCATAATCAGTTTTTCTATCCGAGCTTTCATGATAGTGAAAATAGGTCGATCTGGAGTCCAAACTTCATAATATAGAGTTTTTATTTCAACTCTGATCTCTATTCTGGGGTAAGTTTGATGTGATGAAAGTGAATAATCTTTTTCTTTGTTATTGATTCATTCACATAGAAGGTTTTAGGTGAATTTTATTTCGTATAATAACAGTCATATGTTCTGTTCAATTATAGAAGGCCTCAGAGAGGCAATTTCTGGTGAGTTTGGTCGTGTATAATTTAATATATTTGATTTGTTTTTTGTTCTAGGTTGATGCTTATACGTAGTTTTAGGTAAGTTCTCTCTTAGCAAATCCAAGAATTTTTCGTTTCTGTAATTCTAGGTCAATATGGAGATGGCGTAACTCTACCACGGAGATTGCAACTCTGAGATCTCTGTGTCGGTCACAAGTCCGAATAAAGGAGGAGTGTTTGACGGAAGGGGTGCAGATACCGCCGTCTGTAAAAAGAAAAAGACGAAAGAAACGAACCATGAACGGTCATAATCGGAATCCATACCGGCTCGGACGTCGCCCGGGTCAACAAGGTCCGCGTCCTCTGATGGGTGACCAGGGCAGAGTCGAAAAATTGGCAACTGGAAAGACGAAGATGAAAACAACGACAGAAAAAAAATACGAATAGCAGAGCAGGAGTAACAACAACAACAAAGACAAACGATGGCCCACATAGACTAAAGATAGCGAAAGATACATTCACAGTGGGCACATGGAATGTACACACTCTGTGGGCAACAGGAAAGTTGGAACTCCTAAGAAACGAAATGAATCGTTTCAGATTCGACGTTGTCGGCATTTCTGAAGTAAGGTGGACTGGTAAAGGCGAAGCACCAAGGGGCGACTTCATTTGGTCAGGCGAAAGCACGACACACACAAAGGGTGTAGGGTTGTTACTTAGTGCCAAAGCAAAACAGGCGATGATAGGATACAATCTGATAAGTCCTCGATTTATCTCAGCCAGGTTCAACGCAACACCATTCAAAATCACCGTAATCCACGTGTACGCGCCAACATCAGCATCATCCGAGGACGAAATCGAAATCTTCTATGATAACATCGAAAAGGCACTAGCGCAAACGCCGAAAAAGGATATTGTAATAATAACTGGCGATTGGAACGCTAAAGTCGGCACTGACAATACCAACTGGGAATCTGTCATGGATAAATACGGATACGGTGACAGGAATGAACGAGGTGAACGACTCCTAGAGTTTGCAGCATTGCACAACTTGTACATATGTAACACGAGGTTTCAACAGAAACCAAGTAGGAAATGGACCTGGGCGTCACCAGATGGCGTACACAAGAACATGATTGATCTAGTACTGATTCAAAACAGATGGAAATCGGCGGCCGCTAATTGCCGAACGTTTCAAAGCGCAGTTATAAGTTCTGACCACTCGCTTGTACTCTGCAACATCAAGTTAAAACTTAAATGACGACGATGTAACAAACCACATCCGAGTCATAGACTTGATGTAAATCAATTAAAAAATCAGACAATAAAGAAATCATACCAAGCTAAATTAAATATCAATCTCCAAGGTATTGGCAAAACGGACAATATCGATGAACATGCAGCAAAGATCAAGAGGGCGATCGAAGATGCATTACAAGCGACCCTCACTACGACAAGGAGGGCCAAAAATCCGTGGATCTCACAGCAAACGCTTAGCCTTGCAGAGGAAAAGCGGAAAGCAAAACAAATAAAGAACGCATCGACACAAAATGCACAGTTGTACAGAGATCTGTGCAACAAAGTAAAGAAATCGGCACGCCAAGATAAAGAAAGATGGATACAAGATGAATGTGATGAAATAGAAAAAGGTCTGAACGTTGGAAACACCAGACTAACCTACAGCCTTATAAAAACACTGAAAAAGAAGTTCGTACCAAGAATGTCTGCAATAAAAAACGAAGATGGTATAATGGCACAGTCGAAAGACAAAGAGAAAGAACGTTGGACACAGTATTGTAGCGGTCTATATAAAGATGAAGGTGGTGGAGATGAGATGGTGAAGGAGCTTGAAAGCATCTTTCCCTCATACGAGGAAGATCCACAAGATATCCTTTACACAGAAGTAGAGCAAGCAATACATACACTAAAAAACAATAAAAGTCCTGGTTCAGACGGAATCACAGCTGAAATGATCCAAGCTGGAGGGGAACAGCTCATACGCCAAATCCATGCACTATGTAATAAGGCATGGCATCAAGGCGTGATACCAAAAGAGTGGGGAAAATCTATACTAGTACCCATTCCAAAGAAAGGAGATCTCAGCGAGTGTTCAAACTACCGGACGATTTCGCTCATAAAGCACACGAGCAAAATCCTACTGGTAATATTGTTGAACAGAATTAAACACCATCTAGATCCATACTTGGCTGATGAACAAGCAGGATTTAGAAAAGACAGAAGTACAGTTCAACAAATCCTAACACTACGGTTACTTGCTGAAAAGACAAAAAGGCAAGGGAAAAAATTATACAATTGTTTCATCGATTTCCAAAAGGCCTTCGATACAATTAAACATAAGATCATTTGGGCTGTGTTAAAATCATATGGAATCGGAAGCAAAATGATAACAGTGCTGCAAAACATATATGAACAGGCACAATCAGCAGTTCGAATAGATAAAGAAACTGGAGAATGGCTTCAAACGAGTGTGGGAACCAGGCAAGGAGACCCGTTGTCACCACTACTGTTCATCACACACCTCGAAAGAGTTATGGACAAAGCGATGCAAATGGATAGTGGAATAAATATCAGCGGCACACTAGTGAACAATCTCCGCTTTGCGGATGACATTGACATCATTCAAGAAGACTGTGACATGCTTCTCGAACAAATAGAACGTTTACGAGCAGCAGCTGGACAAGCAGGTCTAGCTATGAACACAGAAAAGACCAAAACACTCGTATTCGGCGATCGAAATATCGAGAAGCAGATGCACATAGCAGGAAATCAAATCGAAAATGTGGAGCAGTTCGAATATCTTGGTAGCCTACTCACGCGGGATAACAACTTTACCGAAGAAATCAAAAGAAGAATAGGCAAAGCAATCGGAGCGATGTTCGCGCTAAAACACATATGGAACAGCAGAAAAATAACCATAAAGAGCAAAATAAAAGTTTTAACTACATGTGTTTTCAGTGTACTGTTATACGCCTCAGAGACATGGACATTGAAAGAAGCCGACAAAAAGAAACTGCTCGCATTTGAGATGAAATGCTACAGACGAATACTTCGAATCTGCTGGCACGACATGATAAAAAAACACCGACGTGAGAAAACAGACTGAGAGACAGGAAAACATCATTGACAACATCAAGAGAAGAAAGTTGCGGTTGTTCGGCCACATCTGTCGAATGGATGATGATAGGCTGATAAAACACACCGTATTCTCTCGAATCAATGGTAAATCAAAAAGAGGACGTCCATGTAGAGAATGACTGGACGATATCATAGAATGGTGTGGACGCAGTGGACAGGACCTGTTCCACCTGGCACAGGATCGGAGACAATGGAAAAACATTATCCGATCAGTGGTTGGCCCCAACGGGCACTAAGCCCACGGGACATCGTGAATCGTGAATAGAGATGGCGTGTTAGGTAAGTCTGATTTTCAATAATTATAAATTTTCGCTAATTTGTTTATTTTAGATTGTTTCAAGTAAAAGAATAGTGAAGTAAGTTTGACCTTATAAAATGATTATATTAATTCGTTTCTGTATTTTAGGTTGTTCCAGTTATGGATATCAGAGGTTGAGTTGGCTCTAACCGTCTGTGCCGTCCGGGAGTGTGCACACTATTCGAGTATTTCTCAAAACCCGAGTACCGTATACATCAAATGAATCAAAAGTAAGATGAAATGGTCTATAGAGTAATTTTCTGCATTCAAGGAAAATCATTCTATAGACTATTTCATCTTACTTTTGATTCATTTGATGTATACCGTACTCGGGTTTTGAGAAATACTCGAATAGTGTGCACACCGCGGGCGGCAGCAGAGGGTTAAATGAAATTTTTAACGGAACATTTGTTGGGTACGAAACCTTTATTTTGAATGATTTTTAAAAGGTTTTGTACGAAACCATTGCTACGAAACCTTTTTTTATAGGTTGCGAAATGGTTCGGTGCTACACCCGTGTTTTCCGGAACCTCCAAAGGATCTTCCCATGTGCTCGGCGGAAGATCCTTTATAAGTTTCGTAGGATACCTTTTTTTTTAGAGTGTAGTACGAGATCAAGACGGCAAATGCTACAGTCACAGGACGAAATAACCAAACGATGGACGACGTACTGTGATAGTCTATACAAGGATCACGGGGATGGAGATAATTTAGTAAGAAGCTTGAATAACATCACACCTGCGAACACCAAGGAGCCACAAGAAATCCTATACTCCGAAGTAAAAGAAGCGATACGCTCACTGAAAAAGAAAAAAGTGCAGGACCAGACGGAATCACAGTAGAAATGCTACAAGCAGGAGGAGACCAGCTAAAACGTGAAATTCACAAGTTATGCAATAAAGTATGGCAAGAGGGTACTATTCCAGACGAATGGGGCAAATCCATCCTAGTACCAATATCGAAGAAGGGAGATCTAAGCGAATGTGCAAACTACTGGACGATCTCTCTAATAAAGCACACGGGAAAAGTACTGCTAGTCATGCTATTCAACAGGTTAAAGCAACAACTAGAACCCCACCTCTCTGAAGAACAAGCAGGAATCAGAAAAGATAGAAGCACAATACACCGAATCCAGACACTTAGGTTAATAGTAGAAAAAGCGAAACGAAAAGGAAAGAAGATACACTGTAAAAAAAGAAGGTTTTCCACGGAACTAAAAAAGGATCTGACCGTGTGACCGCGCTCAGATCCTTTTTAGGTTTCGTAGAAAAAAGGTTCCGTATGGAACTTCTTCTTGGTAAATGGAAAAAAATTGTTTCGTACACATGGTTCAGTACGAAACCTCTGCGAAATTCTGCTCAAAAGGTTTCGTACACATGGTTTCGTATTAAACTTTCCGAATCATATTCATCCGATGATGGAGCCCTTGGAAGTG